ATTTTTAAATATTTATTTTTTATTTTTAGTTATTTTTATTTATTTTATTTTTCTTTAAATAAAAGATCTTTTACTTGACATTTATGTATTTAAAATTACTACAGCTTACTAGTTTTTAGTAAATTTTATTATAATACCCTTTATCTAGAAGTTTTTGTCTATTTAAATACTTTATATTAATATCTATTTTCTAGATCTAGTTTTTACAATAATACTATTAAAGATCTGTATTATTTTTTACTTAAATTTTCCCAAATAGTCTTGTTTTCTAATTTCTATAAATTTATATAATACAAAAACTTATTTTGAGTTTGTATTACTTAGTGCTAGTTTGCATTCTTTTGTATAACTAATTACACAGATGTTACATGATTTTTTAGTTATGTTAGTATAATTATAATTATAAATATCTTAATCTAATTATTAAAAACAGATATCATAATACAATTATTATATAGATAATTATCTAAATTTTTATTATTAGTAGATTTTGAACTTACAACTTATTATTCAAAGGGTTAACAACTTATTTACTTTACTAAGTTGTCACACTTTTTTTTTTAATATTAAATAAATATTAATTTAAACATTTAAACAATTATTAGAAGCTGATTTGGTTTTTTTTTTATATAAGAAAGTATATATCAACTTCTAAAATTTTTTTTTATAATTAGATTATTTGATTATACCAAAGATGCTTCTAATTTTAATTAGACCAATTCTTTATTACAGATTATTTTTGTATTTACTACTTCTTTTATTATTTTAGTATTAGTTATTTTCAAATTACTTTTTTAATCAAATTTTTTTCTTAAATTTTAATTAAATTTTATTTATACAATTTCTTAATTATTCTTCTAAGCAAATGTTCTATAAACAAAAATATTAATACTGTCTATATTAAGAAATATAAAAATGTTAGTATTGTCTTAGTTTTAAGAACTTATATATATAATCTTTTTATAACTATAATTTTTTTAATACTGTTATTATGTATAATACTTATACTTTATATTGAGTTTTTTTTAAAAAATTTCTTATTTCAAATTTATATCTGTATTTAAATTTTTTTATAAGACTTTATATTTGATTAATAATTTCAATAAGTTATAAAAACAAATTTGGCTTTAGCTTAATTCAAACTATTGACTTTGTTTGTTAAGAGTTTAGAAACTTATCTGTTATGCTATAAGATCTAAACTTTATAATTGTAATTATTAAATAAATATATAACTATTTTATATAAATAAAATTTTTGTTTTTTTTTTAAATTATTTTTATTTTTTTTTTTTATTATTATTATTTCTTATAAATTAATATTTTTTTAGTTTAGTTTTTTTTTATTTCTTTACAAAAAGATATCATTAGTTTAATAATATTTTATTATAGAGTAATGATCAAATTATATATGAAAACAAAATTATTTTAAAAAGATAAACCCTAAAAATTAAATTTGAAAATAAAATTGTTTTGATTTACTTTTATTTAAAAAATAAAATTTTTTAATGTTTTTTTTAAATAAATAAAATTATAAGAAATATAAATATATAAATTAGATTTACTCTTATAAAAAATTTCAAATTACTCTAATGAAGATAAAATAAGTCTTTTTTAAAAACCTATTTTTGTAGCATGTATAGACCAAATACACTTTTAAATCTTATAATACTTTAATATTATGCTACTAATGCTAACAAATTGTCTGTAAGACCCATAAAAATAACCACATATTTGTGAGTTTACAAAATGTTAATAATAAAAGTTTAAGTTCAAAAATATTTATATAAGTATAAAACCTTAATAATAAAACTAAATTAAATAATTGTTCAAGTAACAAAAAAAAAACTAAAAATAAAAAAATAAACTATTAATTTGTAAGACAAATAAATAAACATTATTTTAGTAAATAATAGGTTTTAATTTGTAAACTAGTAATTTAATTATATAAATAGTAATTTAGTAACCAAAATAAAGAAAAATAGAATATAAAATTATATAGAATATCTAACCAAAAAAAATAAACATTGTAAATGCTTAAAAATTAACAAGAAAAACGGAAATTTGCAATAAATAACTAGTTTAAAATTCAAAAAATAAATTAAATTAGAAACTTGTACTAATAAATATTTAAATTAGAAAAATATACAACTTTTTGTTTTCTACACTATGTTAAAAAAAATAGAGAAATAGCACAAAAGATGTATTAATTTTGTAATTTAAAATTCATATAAATATGGGTACCAGTGAAAAGAAATATAGTGCGTAAAGTGGACATTATTTTTGACTGTACCGAAAAAATCATATGCGCATACTGCACATTTTATATGTTATGTAAATTTTTTTTGTGCGCACACATCGAATTTTTTCGCTAATTAGAACTCTATATTCTAACAATTTTTACTATTAAATTGGCTATTTTTTATATCAATTAATCACAATTTACCTCAAATATTTAAAAAAAATATATTTTTAGTAATTTTTCAGACAAATTTCCTGGAAAATGCTACAAATTAAAAGGATAATATTGTTAGAGTTTAGAAAATAATTTATTTTAATATAAGCAAAAGCCGAAACTTTTTTTGACAATAATATGCAATTTTACACAATTTTAAAAGTACTTAAAAATAATATAAACAAAAAAAGGTTTGATAATTGTTTAATGTTTAATCACGATTCAAATAATAAGTGTGGCTGGTCCCAAAGTTAAATGTTTATTCTGAGTGACCTAATGGACAACTTCAAGCTCGACATACACCATTATTTACTTGACAAATAGCAATAATTCTTTACAGAAATAAAAGCTATTTATTTCCCATATTAAATTGAATTACAGCATATTTTCCAGAGTACATCCAATCACTTTCATTAGAACTTAATCTTTCCTCAATCCCTTCTTCGAGTCCAACAACAACATCTGCCTTCATTGTTCGTAAGGCAAGTATAGATGGAGAACCTTTTATGCTTGATAATGGTCCAATAGCCTCATTAAATGGCGTAGTAGTTTTCCATTTACAATCGTATATCAACTTCCTATAATTAAGGTCACCCTTAAAAATTACAAGATTAGACGTACACAAATCTGCATACAAATCAGGTGCTTGCTCTGCCAAGTGCCAATAAGCGTATGGTGATGTCCAGAAACAATCAGAAGTAAGGATTAATCGATAATTAGCAATATAAGATTGTAGCCGATTTGAAAGTTTTTTGAGAAATGATCTTTCCATTTCAGAGGCTGATGAAAAGAAATCTTCACTCTGAAGTGTTTGAAAAAGCCAATTGAAATCATTCAGCGTCGTATCTGAAACAAACCATGGAAATTTCTTAGCATGTAAATGAATCTCTTTTGCATATCCAGATTGGATTAGCCAGTCTGACAAAACTAAATCCACGTAGAATTCGAATCCTAAATTTAAATTCATAAATTAATTAGCTTGTACATATAATAAAGGTTTAAAATATAAAGACTATACCCGCATTATCTAGAATAATATCAATTCTAGCGTTACTATTTTCTGATACATAATTCCATGCTTTTTCTAAATCATTTGCTAAAATATTTTTCTCTAATTCTTTTAACCTCTTTGTTCCGAGATCTTGCAATTTTTTAAAATCATCATTGCTAAGATTAGTAAGTAAAGATAGATCTGTGGAATTGCCCCAAAGTGATATTTGGACGAGTTCATGGAAAATAATTCTCCCAACATCTATTTTCTCATTATCTGCAGGTAACTTTGGAATATAGATTAATTCGTCAATATATTTCGCGATTTCGATAACTGCAATAAATGATGCTTTAAAAGCAACTTCTTTTTGACGAAAAAAAGGATCGTAGTCTTTCCAATGTTTAGTTCTCGCAAATATAGAATGTATTCGACGATACAAGTAACATTCCACGAAAAGCCAAGTTGCCGAATACCAGTTTTCATCCTTAAAATAAGTGTTGAAGACATGTGTCCAAGTGCCAATATCCGACTTTCCGTCATCTTCGATTGGACTTTTACAAATAAAGTTAATAAACTCAAAATTTTGGACTGCTATCAATAGAAATAGGCAGATTGAATTCATTAAAAGATGTATTGTAGACATACATCAATGGCTTTTTCCGTTGCATTTGATATTTCAATCCTCCTATAGAGTCAATAATTTCTTTGCCTTCTTTAAGTTTATCAACCTCTGAAAGATCAAGTGAATGACGACTTTTATAAACCTCGTCGACAATTTTTGTCACGATTACTGGCCATCTTTCTACGGTAGTAATATATGCAAAACTATCTTTATCTGTTGCAATGAGAGCGGGTCGTGGAGGGTTGGCTGGATTTACTGACATAATTATTGAAGGAAAAAATTCCACTTAAAATCATGACGTAATCATGTGATCATACTTTATACTTTATACTTTACTGTGTTGCACAAAGTACGATCAATTTACCAAAAACCTTCTCGCTTTCAATGTATTTTCTAATCTTGACTTACAAACTCTTTGTGTGAAATGCTCTTTCAGGAGTCAGAAGACGAAAATATGTATATTACGAGTAAATACGAACCACCGACTGACTTTGACACGATCACTATCAATACGACCAATGTCTCGACTAACTTTGGCACGATCTCTCCCACAACGAATGTTCCTACAAATATTAGTAAATACGAACCCTCGATTGATTACGACACGATCGACGCGATCGCAACCCCTACGAAAAACGGTTCAGTCGACCTTGACATGGTCACTGTTCCTGTAACCAGTATTACCAATATTCCTGATAATTATGGCACGATCACCCCTATGGCTGAGGTTCCGGAATTCTTTTTACTCCCCGAAGTAGATATAAACACATGCAGGATTCTACTAAAACCATACCATCCTCGTTCGGCTTACTCTGCTATATCTAATTCATCAGCACTTCAAAAAGACGATCATCAAAGTAATGAAGGCCCTCTAATATACTATGAACCGAATCTAACACCCGAAACATTGGCAGAAACAAATGCTAAAGTTACCAAAAACATTGAACACGTATACATTAATTATTCAATTCATTGATATTTTCATATTTTATAACGTTGCAGTGATGTTATTTTTACTTTATTTCAGCAACTTCGACAACCTAAAGGAGATCCACGAATAAATCGCGAATATGCTCTGAGTCTTAATGTCAAACGACAAAAGTACTGCAAGTCATTGCAAGTTCTTACATATGAGGTATTTATTTAAAATGTTGGATTCATTTATACTTTGTAAGGTAAAATAATACAATTGTATATAACACATATTTCTCACGATTGTTATCATAATATAGCAAGATAAGAAAACACATAATCGCAAAGAGTCCACTGTTATCATATCATTCCTTGATAAATTTATGCTTGAATCTCAAATTCGAGAAAATTTTGAAGAATGTGGATTTATACAAGAATGTAATATCGAAAAACACCCAGACTATAATCATAGTCTTGGAATCGCAACAGTTACTTATTATGGAGATGATGATGGTGTAGCTTTGAATGCAGCGAGAGAGGCTGTCATTAGATTTAATGGCAAACAAATATCCGGTGGTCCACCGATTAAAGTGGAACTGGATAATGATGGTTAGTAATCATATTAACAGGATTAAATAATTGTTATTGTTGATATTTTTTTCAATTTACTCATTCACATTCCTGGTTTCAATTTAATTGAGTTAGGTTCAAAGTTGAAATCTGCCATCGATGCATATATTTCAGAAGGTCAAACACAAAAAGAATCACATTCACCTAGTAATAGTCATAAATCAACACCATTGGCAAATGACATTGATATGGAAATTGATGATATACCATCTCCATCCCCACCAATGGCACCCCCAGCGGCTCCTCCAATAAAAGTTCCATTGGATCCACCACCATCTCGGTCATTAGATAGTATTAAAAGTAAATTTACACATTCTATTCCAACATCTAAAACACCTGCTACGAAAGATTCAACATCGACAACAAAGCTTCCGGTAAAAGATTCAACTAAAATGTCATTAAAAGATTCTGTTCCAGCATCTAAGATGCTATCAAAACCTTTTTCAACATCTAAAGTGTCATCAAAAGATTTTGATTCAGATATTAAAGGGTCGTCGAAAGAATTTACTTCGATTCCTAAAATTTCTTCGAAAGATTCTACCAAATTATTTAATGAAGTTTTTGATAAAAATGAGCAGAAACAAGATATGCAGTTTATGAATGATGACAAAGAAGATGGCGAAATCGATTCAAATACTGAAGAACCGACGCCACGTAGTATTAAGGTTAAAGGGCTTGAAAGAGGTCCATTTGACTCAAGCTGGCGATATCCAGCTGAATCTAGAGCACGATTATCTTCATGGCGTGACTATGATCACCTACAATACGATTCTGATCGTTACGGTTTAGATCGTAGAAGACGAAATTCTTCAAGGGATAGATCTAATAAAGGTAAATATTCTACTGAAAGGAGTCGAAGTCGAAGTCGTGATAGAAGTCCGAATGGTTTTCAAAACTGGAATCGTGATAGAGAAGGTAATCATGGTAGATATCATGACTCTTATCGTAACCGTGACCGTGATTGCACTTCAAGTCGTGAATATGAAAGTAGCCGTAAACATGATCGAGATACAGCTCGTTCACGTGGTCGAGAAAGCGATCAAAGTCGCGATAAGGATAACGTCCGCAATAATGATCGTGATCGGGATTATCTATATAATCGAAATCCATCAGATAGATCTCAAACATCACGCAATGATGAAAAGAAAATTCAACCAGAAAAGGAAGATGGCAATACAAATCCTAATGCTAGCATCAAAATTGAAGAGGAAGAAAAAATAGGTATAAGCTTTTTAGAGGCATTTCATGATCTAAAAGACCTTCCAAGCTTCCGGAAACGTTCGAACTTGAACAACACGAAAGATTCAAAGAAAAAACAGGAAATTTTGATGAAAGATCAAAAAAACCTGTCCACGTATGAGTCTAAAGATGTTAATCGAGACTCTCAACAAAAGATTACTTCATCAAGTTCTATACAATCAAAGAAACCAATAACTAAGAAATCATCAGAATCAATCGACAATGAATCTGACGGTTATGGTACTCACGATACAGATGATAAATCGTACGGAAGCGTTCGTCGAAAAAATACCAAACAGAGCACCAGACCTAGTAAACGAGTTGAAAGACCGAAAATTAGTGACTGGGACTATTCATCATCAGAGTCATCTTTAGAAGATACGAAGAAGGATTCAACATCCACTATTAGAAATCCGTCACCTTTTAAGAGTGAAAAATTGGATAATGTGAATAATAGTGATAAAAACAATGATGTTGAAATACAATCAATACAGAAAAAAAATCAAAAGTTAAGCGCATCGAATGCATCTGAAGCCAGTAAAAAAGTACATAATAAATCCAATATTTCAAGCGTGTCTGAAACAACCAAAAAATTGAAAAGCAGTAGCTATAATTTTAATTCCACTCTAAAGCATCGTGAATTAAAAAATCGAATCTTTGTTGCTACACCTGGATCAAGTACAAAAATTAAATCTAGTCGCAGACAAAAAAATAATTTGGTATCAAATGCACAAAGTTCGAAATCTAAAAACAAATTAGCATCTAGTTCAAAAACATTTAATGCGCAAGAGACATCAAATTCCTCCAGAAATCAATATGTAAATGATACAACTAGCGACAGTGCAAAACAAACAAGTGGATCCAATTCAAACAGCGAGGGACAAGCAGAAGACTGTGATTCGTTCTTTAATTCAGAATGGGTCGAGAGACCGTATCTTACTCCAGAAGATGGTATCACAGATGCATTTGATTTAGATATGATCAAGCTTTATCTCACTCTACAGCAGAATAACCAATTAGATAGTGATGGTGAGCCAATAGACTGGGTAGAAAAGGAGGAATATACTGTCAGAGTAGGTGGTAAGTTATCTTATTGCTATTATTATATTTGTTATTATCGTATTATTATTATTATTATTATTATTGTTTTGTTAAAGCTAACTCTTCTGACATATTTTTTTTTTTATAATCAGATACTGTATATTCATACAAAGACTATGCGCCTGATCCAGGACCTCATAAGACAGGATGTGCTAGGACTGAAGGGTATTACAAAATACCACCAGAAGAAAAGCGCAAATACGTTACATATGGTATCGCAGGTACGCCATATGCAACTGCCACAGCTCCGGCACCTAGTCCACGAGAATCGAGAGCCAAACGGCGAGAATTACATGCACGGATGGCCACAGCGTCAGAAGATTATCTTCAATTTAATCCATTAAAATCACGAGAAAGAGAACTTACAATAGCAAAATCGTCAATACATCACTATGGACTTTTTACTTTAGAAAAAATAAAGTGCGGAGAATTTGTAATCGAATATACGGGGGAATTAATTAGACAGGCAGTTGCAGATTTGAGAGAAAGAAAATATAAGGCTGAGGGAATTGATGGAAGCTATATGTTTAGAGTAGGTGATGATACGATAATTGACGCCACTAGAATGGGAAATAATGCCAGACTAATAAATCATTCCTGTGAGGTAAGTTGAACATAAGTTGAATTTGATTCTTAATTTGGTTTGAAAAATTTACTGACTTTTTTAGTTTCTCATGGATGTTATATGGAATTAAAGCCGAATTGTAATGCTAAGATTCTTAACGTCAAGGGACATAAAAAAATAGCCATATACGCGAAAAGGAACATACAAAAGAATGAAGAGATTACATATGATTATAAGGTAGATAAATTAATTATTAATTGTTTTACGTTTTATTATGATTTATATTAATTTATCTATTGATAGTTTCCAACCGAAAATTTTGATAAAATCCCATGTCACTGTGGAGCACCTAAGTGCAGAGGATTTCTAAATTAGTACTTAAAAACCGGCTTACTCAATGTATTGTTTAACGTGAGTTAGATTGTTAATTTAGTATACTTTCTTTGTTGTCTTCAATGATGTTTATAATATACAAATTGATGTCTAATAACGATCAATTATAATATTGTTTTGTTATTGCTCATTTAATATTGTGTAGTAGTTTTAATATAATTGTGTTTGTATTATATATACAGTTGCAAGTGTAATTTTATAAAGTAGAATCTTTTATTATAAAATATATAGTAAGTTGTTATTAATTTTACTAGTTGTATAAAATAAATATAGTTGTTTAAAGTTAAAATATAATTATTAATATATATGTAACTATATATATTTGCAACACGTATATATATAATTATACTGTATATATTAAAGTTATACTATAATTAAAAATTTTTTTTAAATTTAAGGGTAGGGTGTAACATTTTAAATTTATATATGAACTTGATGGTATATTTTTTTTGTAATCTTAATTACGAAAATTTTTATTAATTAAATATTTTTTGAGCTTGTAAGTAAAGTTGTAGAGTAGGTTTTTGTGATTCTAACAATAGTAAAATCATTAAAATTGGTTTAAAACTCATTGAAATATGAATTTTTAAAGATTAGATATAAAAATTTATTATTAAAACTCTTTTATAGGTTTTCGGAAATTAGCCAATTAAAGTTGACTATTTTGTGTAACCAAGGAAAAACATAGTGTCCAGGGAAAATTCAAGATATATACAAATATAATTTTTTTAAATTAAACATCTTATAAAATTTTAAAATAATAAATAACTTATTTAAATCTATATATTATTGAATTTTGATAAAAATTAATTAAAAAATAAAAAAATTTTATTAATAACATATTTTAATTTACTATATAAAAATTCATTATACCATCTAGGTTATATGAAAAATGATCTATGTACACCCTACTCTTAATATAATAATTTTTTATTTATTTAAATAACTGTTTTTTGTTTTTTTAAAAGTAAAAGGTATTATATTAAAAGTATATATAAACTTAATGATAAAATTTGTTTATATTTAATTTTATAAAAAATTATATTAAGTAAACTAATATTAATTTATAAGAAAATTTGTAGTGTAAGTTTTTCTGATTCTAATAAAATATAAATTTTTAAAAATTAGATATAAAAATTTATTAATTAATTTATAGATTTATATAAATTAACTAATCAAATTTAGTAATCTTGTATTATCTAAAAAATTTTGTTATTCTAAAAAAATTTTGTAATATATATATTTTTTTTAGTATTAAGGTAAGGTTTTGCTTATATTTTTATTAATAATTTTAATTGTATGTTTTAGTACAAAAATATTGAAATAAATTAAAATTGTATATAACAAAATAAAAATTACATATAAGAATAAAAGTTTAAACTAGTTTATTTATAATTTAAATCAAATTTTTGTAATATATATATTTTTTTGGTATTAAAATAAGGTTTTGCTTATATCTTTATTAATAATTTTAGTTATATATAATAATATTTTTTTTTATTTATATAATGCCAAATTGTAACTTATATTTTATTTAGTTTTTTGTATTACTATTACATATAATTATATTATATTTGTGTTATTAGATTACTAATTGCTTTAGACATCCAACATGACATTATATTTATATTTTCCTATATATTTTTTTATAGTCTTTATTATATATTTTAATCATTATTACTAAACTATCAGAAAATTGTAAATCATCTTATTATATCTGAATTTCTTTTTACTTTGTTAACTCAATAACAGTCCATCTATTTACTACCTACAATAATCTATTCTTTTTCAAATTAGTTAACTTTAGCAGTTTTTTGCTTCTTTTGCTACTAGTTTAGTATACACAGTTATATATATTTTTTAATATCTTGTTAGTATAGTTAGATTTATTAAAATCTAGATTATTAATCTGCAATCTACTATATATCTTTTTTCAGATGTATTTCTATAGTTGGTTTAGTTTATGACTTGATTATATATGCTTTCTGTAAGCTTTTTTGTAGATGTATCACTGATTATTTACTAATATATTACTAGCTTAATGTTACAAAAAGGTTTAGAACCTTGACTTATTATGTACAGATATAGTGCCTATTATCTAAGTTGTAATGTATGATTATCTTGGAAAATATTTATTAAATATTTTAGAATATCTGCCTAAGATATTTTAAATCTAATTAGATTAATTCTTTGTTACAGATCTTTTCTGCATACACTATCTTGGTCATCACTTCAGTTTGGTTACTTGGTATTATTCTTTTAATCAAGTATTCTATAAATCAGATATAGAGATATTGGTGTTGTTTTATTTTCTAAGAACTTATATGCATAATATTATTGTGTAATTAAACCTTTTATAATGCTGCTGTTATACATAGTACCTTTACTCTGCAAAGTTAGTCTTTTTTTAGAAATTTCTAATCTATCCTTGTACTTTACTTTAGAACTTTTCATAAGGCTTTGCATTTAATTTAGTTCTTTATAAATTACAGAATTAAAATTCTAAAATTTTGCTTTTGGTTTAACTTGAATTGTTGATTTAGTTTGTAAAGGATTAGCAGTTTTATCATTAAGCTATAAAGTTAAATTCTACTTATATATATTAATAAATTATATATTAAGATATATTAAGATTATAAAATACACAATAAAAATTAATAAGGTGTGGTGACCTAGTGAAGTGGTCAGGTTGTCAATCCTCCAAGTGGTAGGTTGAATGTTTAAATCCCATCAATAATGAAAATTTGGATAATCATCTATATAATATTCATATTACAGTAACTGTTACTAACAATTAGGTTAGGATACCTGTAATGATAGTTGCACCAGTATGACTGGCAGGTTATAGGGCATTTGTGTAAGTATGGTGTTACACAGAGAAATGCAAACTAACAAATTAGGTAATACAAACACTAGATAAGTTCTTGTGACCATATAAATCTGTTGAAATTGTGTAACAAGAAGTTCATTTAAAAAGACTTAAATAGAAAGATAGCTAGATCTTCAACAGCCCTATTGTAAAGGCTAGCTTGGGAAAATGGATACCAAGGTCATAGTATCCAGTTATAGTAGCTGACAGGCAAAAACCTTCAGATTGGGAGACTCAGAGATACCTTCAATCAGGCTATCAGAATGAACTGAAAGAAAAAAATATTAGGCTGACTTGATATATTGATAGACTAATCATAGTCCTATACAAGCTATCTGGATTGGAAGTTTGGTAAAAAGGCAAATAAAAAAGCAGAAGTATACTAAAGTACTAGGGTTATGCTATAAAGTAGATGCTAAAGTCTAAGTAAACTTTACAAGAGCATAGCAGTTTAATAGTTAGTCCTGATCACAAGTGTTGATTTTGCTATAGTAATATCTAAATCAGCTATAAAAATGGTTACAGAAGGCTCTAGAGGGTTTACCTTAAGAATAAATTAGTTCTAAGGTTAAGATGATAATTTGGGTATTTGAGTATAACATAGTAATGTTAATACAAGTTCAGGTTCAGAGAATTTAAAGTAGAATATCTAAGCAGAAGTGTTAGATATGACAATTGGTAAGAAACCTTTAGATGAACTTCTTAAATAGGTAATATAGAAAAGTTACACATGTAACCAATTGTACTCTCTTCTGTAGTAGTTCATTGAATTACAATACCAATAAGTAATTAATAAAAGTTAAAAGATCAAAGAGGTCACCTTAATACCAAAAAAAAAATAATAATAACAATAATTTTTTTGATTAAAAATTTTTTCTAAATTTGTCTATTTTTAGCTTATAAGTAATATATAATTTTTTTCTTAT